AGGTACAGTTGCAGTATAAACAGCAATTTGAGCGAATATTGCTCTTTTTCTTTTCTCAATTTTCATTCAAGAGCAGAATTACAGATTAACGGAGTCTGGTTTGAGTATGGTGAATTGGGACTTGTTCCGGACGATGAAGCCTCCATTAAGTCAGAAGGAGTGGGAAGAGGAATTTGAACGTTATAAAATGTTTCCTGAATATAAGTTGTAAGTTCGCTGGATTTCGCTATGCATAAAATTATCAATTCGTGACTTGAGACGAGTGTTTGCTTAGTTTAGCAAGGCTTCAAATGAAGAGATGACTATGTCACAATTCAAATTCATTTGGCATATGGAATACGGTCATCGCATGTGGGGGCGTGCTATTGGAATTGTAAGTAACTACACTCCCCCGTTTATTGGGCTCGATAAAGAGTTTTCTATGATTTCTAGGTGTTTTTCTTGCCTTGTGCATACTTCTGGGCTCGTGGATACTTCCCTACAACAATGAAGAGGCGGATGGCAATTGCGGCGGCACTCATTCTTGCACAGGTTTGAACGCAGTTTATTCAGTTAGGGTATGAGTGAAGATTCAAGATATTGTAACCTTTGGACTCAGATTATACTTGAGTGTCATGCGAGGGGGTACACTTTAGCTACCTCCAACTATTATGAGTGTTAGTCTTCCACAGTTCAAAATCAGTGACGGGCAGAGGCCAAGGAAGCAAGGTCAAGCATGTGAAGCGGTGTCTGCGCTGGGGAGAGGAGGCGAGATGGGAACTGGGGCGTATCTAATCCGCTAAAAGATGTGAATCGTAGGCGGAGGCGTCAGCGTCGAAGTGAGTTGGGTACGAATATGAAATTCAAGAACAGGGGAGGTTTCAGTGTCTCCGTGTTGTTAGATTTATTAAGTTGGACAAATAGTTTTGACCGAAATTTCTATCTTGTCTAGATTTTCTTGGAAGAGCCGCCGAAAGCATTTTGCAATATTGTACGGTAGAAAGGTTCCTGAGGCTTCGCTTGATGGGTATATCAACGAGCGCTTATACGTATTTCGCAATTATGACTTCAATGAACGAAGGTATCTGCGAGCTATTGTCTACTACGAATTTCTACAAGGCCATAATCCACCAAAGGCTGCCACCAATATCCGTACTGCGTTCAACGAGAGCATCGTATCCGAATCCACGGTACGTCGTTGGTTCATTCGATCGTTCTGGCGAAATTTCTTTGAAGATGAACCTTCTTCTGGACGGCCTACCTCCTTCGACGACGAAGCTCTGCGCAATGCCTTGAAGGAGAAACCCAATGCTACTACCCGTGAATTGGCGACGACACTTGGATGCGGCCAGGACTATCAACAACCATCTCCAGGCCGTGGGCTATCGTGATGTATTCTCAAGATGGGTACCGCACGAATTACGCGAGTCGTCAAAGCGTCAAGGATCAGCGTATGCACTTCATTGCTTCTGCGCCCCCCCACAGAAGGGATCTTCTCAAGGACATCGTTACCGGAGACGAGAGCTGGGTTCTTTTGTTGACCATAAGCGACGTCGCCAGTGGCTCCCCCGCAGAGAACCGCTTCCAAAACAGCCGAGAAGTGAACTACACGAGAGAAAGGTTTTGCTCTGCCGTTGGTGGGATTCTGAAGGGAATGCTTTATTTCGAGCTACTTCCTATCGGACTCACTGCGATCGCTGAGGTATACGTACGCTTCTCAGCTTCAGAAGCTATTCGACGCCCGGAAACGCCCGAAACGTGACAAAATTTACCTTCTTCACGACAACGCTCTCCGCACGTCGCGATGTTGTTTGTCGAAAATTGCTGAACTTGGATAGGAAGTGCTAGCCCATCCACCTTATTCGCCAGACCCAGCCTCATCCGACTACCATCTGTTTCGTCCCCCATGCACTACGCGAGAAATTCGATGATGACTCGCAGCTCGAATTGAGATCTCCTACTTTTTCGACTCGTGGCTGCTAGCTCTGGGCTTCACGAATCGAAAAACCACCGAATCGTCGGCGAATAGAAAAAAGCGACCCATGTTGGACCTGTTTTGTGGCCGGTGAATGCGGCACATCTTGACTCGACATCCTTGGTTTTCATGAAGAATGTGAGTCTTTGAGACATAAATAATATTTTTTGAGTCATAAACTTTTGTCTGGTCAACAACTATAGTGTTTACTCTCCTCCTGCCAGCTGTTGATTTTGATTGTTTTCTGAGGAGCCAAAGAAAGGAAGGTAACAGGAAGCAAGTCGTATGGAGTGAAAGGGTAGAGAATGAACTGTTCGGGTAGTTGGGAAAGGTAGCAGTCGCTTCGCAGCCTTTCGGGCTTGTGTACATGGTTACCCTAATGAACTCCAGTTGTACGGCCGTTTTATCAGTTTTCATGAATAAAAAAAATCTTCGTTCTATTCACTGGCGATCACGTTGATAGATGGCAGTATGTTTTATCAATGCAGGATTGGATTTCGATCTTAAAACAGATAAAAATAGAACGGCCTTATTATGCTTGCCGAAGCAATAATTCGAAATTTTACATCGCATGCTTCTTAGGGTGGGGGACATCGCTGAGTGGATGTGAACTCGGGCGTTGGATCCTTCGAATAATTCCGACAACCCAATGTTCCACGAGTTTCTCAATATCGACTAGCAACCCATCTTACCATGGCTTTCCTGCTTTATTCACTTTTCTTGTACAATGGAATTAGTCATTTCGTAACACCACAGGTTCAAGTTAGTCCTACTCGTTTTTATTATTGAAACTGTATTTTAGTTGACAAATCTACCTAAATTGGGCATGTTACGAGGTCTATCACATAGTGCCAAGGCACTCGTTTTCTTCACGGCGTTCATGGGTGAGTTGAGTAATTGTCCTCAAAGCCGATGTCAGAACTGCGGATCCAGCGATCCGTTAGTGAATTACGGGGTACGAGCGATGCGCCAGCGCTTCAAGCGAGGCGCCAGCGATTCGATAGTGTGGAGAATTGGCCCACTTTGACTTTCATCACTTTCTCATGCTCTCGCGAGCCTTTGAATGTCGCAAGCCTTGACTTGTAAATGAAGGGGATTTTTGCCTGTTTCCAAGACAGTCGAATCGCTGGTACATCGTTCGAGTCATCGGTGTAGGTTCGAACCGCTGGTGCATCGCTAGAATCGCCGACACAGCGTTCACGCTAGCGCATCGCTGTAATCGCTAACGCATTGTCCGATCGCTGGCGCATCGCTCTTAAACTGCGATGGCTGGATTTGCAATATCTGACAGCGGCCTGATGAAGCATTAGTTATAGAAGAACATGTATGTGGGCACTTCAGTATGATATGAAAAAAGTTTTTTTCAGGGGCATTCGTAGCCGGATTGGATGCTGGTCTGGTTTATAACTCATGGCCTAAATTCGCGGAGAGCTGGATCCCAGAAAACATGCTCACGCGTTCGCCGTTATGGAAGAACTTTTTCGAGAATGACGTCACCACACAATTTATCCATAGAAATTTGGTGAGTTCAGTAGACAGTGTCTCGGGCGTAGCTGTCAACGGTTCATTAGCTGAGTCAGACGAGGCTGGTCGCATTTCATTAGGGTGCAAGGTAGGTAGCGGAGGTTAGCGAAGTGGAAATGTAATTCAAAAAAGAATAAAAAAAGAAGGAATGGAAAATTCTGGCTATTTTTTTCAGAGTTGGGAGGGGGAAGAATTTTGTGAAATTTAGAAGTTTCATTTCCATACCTTTTACCGTTAACAGCTATATGTATCCCCATCCCCTCGTCCTCTCGGAGTTTGGGAAATTGCAGTATCGACGGCCAATTACAGTATCGCCTTAAAAGATCAAACATTGGGATGGGATGGATCCACTAGCGTTAAAGGACACTTTCTCGGGAGGAGAATTTGGGAAATGTGGCTCATTTACTTGAAGAAAGTAGTGGAAGAAGGTCGAAACTTCCCGACTAAGAGCTTCCCTTCATAGTTCTACACATTGCAC